CCTGTGTCCCCCCCCAAGGAAAGGTGTCAGCCAGCAGCATCCTGGCCAGCGCTCCCTCGGACAAAAACCTGGACGCTTGGCGGGTGAGTGGGACCACAGGGTGACAAGTCACCCTGCTGGGTGGCTGCGGAGGTGGAAGGCATGTTGGGGTGCATGTTGGGATGCCCCTCACTATGATTTTAGGGTGCCCTTTCCCCCCACGCAAGGCTTTGGTTCATCCTTCCCAAGTCTGGGTGAAATCCAAGCAGAAGCTTCGTGGCTTTGGTGGCTTTTGTCCCCAAGCTGTGTCCCTGCACGTGAATGGTGCTGGGGGTGTGGGGGTGACAGGTTGTGACATGTTTCCCCACCCACGCATAGGAGTCAGGGTGCCGGACCACCCACTGCAACCTGGAGGTGCTGCAGGATTGCACCCTGGTCTTCCTGGCCACCAAACCCCACATTCTGCCAGGCGTCCTGCAGGAGATCCGTCCTGCCGTGGGACCCCACCACGTCGTCGTCTCACTGGCGGCGGGCGTCACCCTCCAGACGCTGCAGCGGGTGAGCCTCCTCTTCCTCCTCCTACACTTTCTCTTTCTCCTCCTTTTCCTCCTCCTCTTCCTCTTCCTCCTCCTCCTCCTCCTCCTCTTTCTCTTCCTCTTCTTCCTTTTCCTCACCCTCCCCTTTGTTCCTCCACCTCTTCCTCTTTCTCTTCCCCCTCCTCCTCCTCCATTTTCTCTTCCTCTTCTTCCTCTTCCCCCTCCTCCTCCTCCATTTTCTCTTCCTCTTCTTCCTCTTCCTTTTCCTCCTCCTCTTTCTCTTCCTCCTCTTTCTCTTCCTCTTTCTCCTTCCTCCTCCTCTTCCTCCTCGTCTTTCTTTTCCCCTTCCTCCTCCTCCTCCTCCTCATCCCATTTGCACCCAAGCCCATCCCCATTTCTTCCCAGCTTCTCCCAGCCGGAACCAAGGTGCTGCGGCTCATGCCCAACCTGCCGTGCGTGGTGCAAGCAGGGGCCATGGTCTTTGCCCGGGGCAGCGGCGCCAGTGACGGAGAAGCCACCCTGCTGAAGAACCTCCTGTCCTCCTGCGGGCTCTGCGAGGAGGTCCCCGAATCCTACATTGACATCCACACCGGCCTCAGCGGCAGCGGGGTCGCCTACGTAAGCACTGGCGGGACACGGGATGCTGGCAGAAATCCCACCCATGCGGAGTTGGGGTTTGGGGGTCCCCCACTTTTTGTCACACTCATCCCGATATTTTTCTCCCCACAGGTCTACCTGTTTGCCGAAGCCTTGGCTGATGGAGCAGTGAAGATGGGCATGCCAGGAGGTTTAGCCAGAAGGATCGCAGCTCAGACGCTGCTGGTGAGTTGGTGGTGTTGCTCGGGGACACCTGGTGTTGCCCAGGGACACTGGTGTCCCTTGGAGACACCCGGCATCGCTCCTCTCCCTCCTGTCCCACAGCTCCCACCTGGCTTGGGCACTGTCACCATCACTTGCCTGGGCTCTGTGGCACCTGGCAGGGTGGCAGAGCGAGGGAGGAGGCGCCGGATGGCCTCTTGCCTCAGTTTCCCCTCTTGAAACCAAAGATGAAGTCACCAGGAGACAGTGAAGGGCACGATGCTTTGGTGTCTTGTCCCCTGCTGTGAGCTGTGGGCGATGGGATGCCACCATCCAATCTCTGGGCAAGGAGAAGGGGGTTTGGGAGGTCCTGACCTACCCTGGTCTTCTGTAGGGTGCAGCGAAGATGATGGTGGAGACAGGGGAGCACCCGGCAAAGCTGCGAGAAGATGTCTGCACGCCTGGGGGTACCACCATCCACGCGTTGCACCAGCTGGAGAAGGGCGCGCTGCGGGCCACTGTCATGAATGCCGTGGAGGCGGCCACCAACCGGGCACGTGATGTGGCCGAGGACTAACAGCCTGGCTGGGGATGAGCCCCTCCATCCCATCCTCTGCGGGGCAGGAGCAGTGATGGGGACCAGACCAAACTCTTTCAAGGAGCAGGGGAACCCTGACACCCTCAGGAGACCCTGGCTGGGGGTTGGAGATGGTGTGGACCCGTGTCCACGCCACGTGCTACCTCTGCAGGGCTAGGACCAAATAAACATGGGCAACACAATGGCTCTTTCTGATCCCTTCAGTCCTGAGGGGGCTACTATAACCCAGCACGGGGTCACTTCCATGGGGAGGTGACAACCATAGGTCCTTGGGCCAGCAGAGATGGAGCTGATGTCACGCTGGCTCTGTGCTCACCAGCGTATGGCACTGGGGACAGGGATGGGGACAGAGTTTTGGGGCTGGGGAGCATCGTCGGGTGTCATGAGGCTGCCAAGGGACCTTGAGAATTGGGGAGCTGGCAGGATGATGGTCTGGGGGTGAGCACAGAGAGGTTCTTCACGAGCATGAAGTCAACCAGTTGAAATATTCAACTTCCCATTCTGGACATGCACCAGTATCACACCACAGTCCTGCACACTGGTCTTACTGGCAGCGAGGCAGTGGGATGGAAGCCCAGAGCTGCTCTTGGCCCCAGGGTGCTGCACATCAAGGGAGGAGAACCTCAAAGCTTGCCTATCTGGAGAGGATCTGAGCCTTTTGCATGCCCTAATTAAGCTTCGTTTGCCTCCCAGCACCTCTACGGATGCAATTAGTGATGATTTGTGAACCGCTTTGAAGATGAAAGGCTTCATCCAGACACAACATCACTGGTGAAACAGCTGGGTGCCGAGCCTTTGGCTCCTACGGCTTTGACTCCATCACCCCAGATGCCAGTGGTGCCAAGCCAGGAGAGATGCCGCAGCCATACAGTGCTGTCGGGTCACGCCAAGGCATGACCTCCCTGGGCACCTTCTCTAGGCACCTAATTAATTAGCAAAGCTGCACAGAAGCTGGAGATGGAGCTTGAGCCCGCCAGTCTGTCCTGCCCATCTCTGCGTTTTGCTGTGTAACCATGAAAGGGGCTCATGGCACCTACATGGTGGAAGGAAGAAGTGGTCCTCAAGGTTCCCAAGCCACCTGTTAGCTCCTTTGTCTTTCTGCCCTGTCCCCACATGTCCCCACATTGTCCCCACGCAAAGTGATTCTGACAATCTCTCTGAAATCTGAAGTGCTGCCACCTTCTGATTTCATTCTTGGGCGTCTTCATCTCTTCTGTGTCCTCCACACCACTCTTTAACATATCTTGGCCAACAAGCCTTTGCCAAATACAGCCCCACCACTCATGCCGTGGCTGACCCCAGCCCTTGCTCATTCGCCATCTCCATCTGTCCCCCTCAAGGCTTTGGAGCTTTGGGTTTTCAGGCTGTCTTTCAGAGAAGTGGCACATTCAACCCCAAAGCCAAGATGTTGATGACCTTCATCATTTTGCTAAGTGCTAGTTTAAAAAAAAATAATGCTTAGATTTCATTAATTTTATAAAAGAAAAAAAGCCAGCACTCACTGCAAGTACATTATCACAATGACCTTAGTGCTAGGAATACTGCCTTCACAAAAGGCATCTCATCATGCCCGGTGACATCATGGAACAGATCCTCCTGGAAGAGATGTTGAAACCTATGGAAGGCAGGGAGGTGATAGGAGACAGCCAGTGTGGCTTCACCAAGGACAAATCGTGCCTGACACGATGGAGTGGCTGCACTGGTGGACAAGAGAAGAACTAGGGATGTCATCTACCTAGACTTCTGTAGGAGAGACATGGATTTGATGGATGGACTGATGATGGATCAAGAACCGGCTGGACGGATGTGTCCAAAGAGTTACAGTCAATGGCTCAGTGTCCCAAGTGGAAACAAGTAAGGAATGGTGTCCCTCAAGGGTCCGTACTGGGATCAATACCATTAAATATCTTCATCAATGACATCGACAGTGGGATTAAGTGCACCCTCAGTAAGTTTGCAGATGACACCAGACTGAGTGGTGCAGTTGACTTTCTTGATGGAAAAGATGCCATCCAGAGGGATCTTGACAGGCTGGAGGAGCAGGCTCATGTGAACCTCATGAAGTTCAAGGCGAAGGGCAATGTCCTGCACGTGGGTTCGGTCAATCCCCAGGATGAATACAGATTGGGGGATGAATGGATTGAGAGCAGCCCTGAGGAGAACTTGGGGGTGTTGAGAAGCTGAACATGAGCCAACCATGTGCGCTGGCAGCCCAGAAAGCCAATCGTGTCCTGGGTGGCATCACCAGCAGCATGAGCAACAGGGCGAGGGAGGGGATTGTCCCCCTCTGCTCCGCTCTGCTGAGACCCCCACCCCCCTGCAGTGATGCATCCAGCTCTGGGGTCCTCAGCACAGGACAGACACGGAGCTGTTGTAGCGGGGCCAGAGGAGGCCACGGAGATGGTCCAAGGGCTGGAGCAGCTCCCATGTGAGGACAGGCTGAGAGAGTTGGGGGTGTGCAGCCGGGAGAAGAGAAGGCTCCGGGGAGACCTTGTGGCCTTTCAATATATAAAGAGGGCTTATAAAAAAGATGGAGCAAGGTTTAAACTGAAAAAAACAGATGTGCAGATTGGAGATAAGGAAGGTATTTCTTACGATGAGGGTGGTGAGAACACTGGATCAGGTTGCCCAGAGTAGTTGTGGATGCTCCGACATTGGAAGTGTTCAAGGTTGGGTTGGACAGGGCTTTGAGCAACCTGGTCTAATGAAAGATGTCCCTGCCCATGGCAGGGGAGTTGGAACTCTGTGATCACTAAGGTCCCTTCCAACCCAAACCACTCAATGGTTCGATGTTCTCACCTCCCCAAACCAGGCCAAACGCTGCCGTGAGTGTACCCAGTGTGACCTATACGAGATGCAAAGGTCTCTACCCTGGTACCTTCTGCTGAACTTGGCAACATTTTTCTCAAACAACCAAAGACTCCTTTAACTCACAAACTACTGCTTGAAGTGAGTCACATCGCAAGCTCTAAAATGTTTTTGTGGGGTTTTTTTTGGTGCATAGGGTTATCAAAATTATAAATAGAAATGTGGTTTTACATTATTACGTCCCGTTGGTGGATAAAAGTCTGCATTCAAGCATGGCAGCATCAAGCCCCAAACATGTACCAGGAGGAAACCAAAGCTAAGGGAGAAGCACAAAATGGGTGAGACACCACACAGCACGCTGGCTGTGAAGCTAGCAGTGCAAGAACATAAGAAATTGAAGTTGATTTGGTTTGTGGTAGAAAAAAAAAAAAATTGTACCTTTCTCCCAATATGAAGTATTTCTTGATGTTGGTTGTGCGGTGGAGTTTCATGATCTGAAAGGACAATCCTCAGCTCCAAATTTGACTTTTCATGTGTTTTTTTTCCTTGCTGCTCCCTAAATTCCCTGGCAGCCTCATTTATCAGCAAGTTAACCCTATTAATAAAATCAAAAAGTCAATTTGAGGAGCAGTCATGGTGGCTTGGGCTGCAGAGAGGTGGAGAACATGATGGATAGACCACACCAAGAGGACTCAACCACATGGAGGTCCCCATTCTGCCACCCCTCCATCCCTCTGCGATGGCTCTGTGGGACCGTTTACAGAAGACAACCCCAAAATAGGAATAAAAATCCATTTAATTGCCATAAGATCTGAAGTTATGAGACAAAGACAAGTAAAAACACCCACCCCACCTGCGGACACGGGGCACAGCAGCACTGATGAATTGTTTTTTTAAAAATCCTTTCAAGAATTTGGCTAAGCAGGCTAAAATTTAACCAAAAATCAGGTCACGAGCTGCTAAATTCACATCTAATGCCTCTAGTATTTCAAGGCAGTGTGAGGAACCCTCTCCATTCCTATCTCAACTCATGACACACGTCACACCAGCAGCCATCTCCCCCACACCACAAGACACTTCCTCCAGACTCAGCCGCTCTACAAACCCCAGGAGGGGCACCTCAGCCTCCATCCCTGGAGCCTTGGGCTTCGTGAGGATTCTCAGATGATGGTACTTGTTTCACCAGGTCTCTGTGGTCTGGGCATTCCCGGAATGATGGAGGTGACCCTCTCCAAGGAGCCACAGCTTCTTGGATGCCACCCAAGCGTCCCTGTCCCAATCCAATGCATGAAGAAGGTTGTTTGAAACCATCCTCAAACCTCCCCAGTTTAACAGGACTCTGTTTTGGCAGTGGGAAGGGCATCACCAGCCTCTTCCAGAGCAGAATATTTGTCTTACAGCACCCCAGGAGTGGTCTCTGTCCACCTCAGCCCTGCTCCAAGCTCCTCACACCGACACCAAGCAGGTCCCTCTCTTGTCCCTTCTCCCCACGGGGTCGGACAGACTGGGCAGTGTCGGAGCCATCCACCCCCTTCTAACGGTGCCGGTGACCAGGGGGTCAACTCCACCTCAGTCTCATAGGATTTAAAAAATAGCACCTCCTAAATATATTTAGGGTGAGGAACAACCCTCAAATACTCAATGTACGGAGGGGTTGTTGCATAAAAAAAAACCCCATTAGCCCTAAATTGTAACCCCTCCTTCGCTGTGAGCATTTGGGCCCCCTTAATCCCAGGGACTGCCCATGACGGAGGGGTGAGAGGAGCTGGCACCTCACTGCCAGCCCTCTGGGACAAATCAGGGTGTCCCCAGCCCCATGTCCTCCCCCACACCCCAAGCAGGGT